AAGATGATTTGCTTCAATTAAAAAATTGCTGAAATGATTAGTAAAAATATAATTATAATCCATCTATGGGAAGGGATGCCAGACGGATATATCAAACCAAAATCGGATAATTACTCGGAGTACTGATTTTCAAAAATAGCATATTAATTATCAATGATATCAGTTTTTCATAAAATCACTACTAATTCTGAAATGTTGCCGATAAACCTGGAATCGTGTTCAGATGTTTTCAGAAATACACTCACACGAACGCCCAAGTGCACTTTGCCCCCTATTGGTTAGTGTTTACAAAATCACGTTTCGCGAAGGCCGGTATTGAGACGCCAATTACATCACTTATATTTCATATTCAGCGGCGACAAATGCATCACGGAATTCTAAGGCTGGGACGGGTACTCGGGTACTCGAATCCGGGTCAGGTACAGCTGGAATCGAGTCCTGTTTCTAGGAATTGAGTACCCGAAAAGGGAGAGAGCTCAGTAATGACATGGGCAGACAATAGCTGGTTTTTTTCGTTTTTGACGTAACACACATTTACATCATTGAGTGAGTGAGTGAGTTTAGTTTTACGCCGCATTCAGCAATATTCCAGCTATATGGCGGCGGTCTGTATATAATCGAGTCTGGACCAGACGATCCAGTGATCAACAACATGAGCATCGATCTGCGCAATTATAGTTTGGCATGAAATGCATGTGGACCCGGTTTTTTGTAAATATCTCTTCATAAATGACCCAATCGATTTCAAACTGTGCAAGTGGATGTTTTGTCAGACAACCTAATCACATTATAAATCACCGATTTTATGCATTTGTATTAAAGAATCTGTCTATGTAACTGTCAACAAAATAAACACCAGAACGCAGAATGCTTGCAGAGGGAGGGAGCCAATGACCTGTAACAGCGGCAGTGTTGGGTCATAAAGGTCAACGTTCGTGAATGTAGGTCAGCTATGTACGTGACAGGTATGAAGAGGTGTTCATTTTTAGCAAATAGCCTGCGAATGACATCTCTGATGACCCTGATGTCAAAAGAATCTAACTTTGGATGCCTACCTTTTTGTACAAGGTTTTTTTTATTGGTTGTTGGTTTATTTTTCACAATTTTTAGCACGATGTTCTTTTTCATGCCAGGAGCAAAAGTTGTACGTTTCATGTAATCCGACACCTTATAAATCGGTTTGCTACGTTTGTTCTCTTTTTAAAAATAATTCAACACATTTCTAATTAAACGTTTAGCATCATCTGAATAAGCTTTCATGATGACAGCTTGAAGTAGTCAATGTGAATGATCCAAACGGTCCCATCACTGTGCAGTGCACAGGTAACTATCATGAACTGCACGTGCATTTTCCTTTATGACCCAACACTGCCGCTGTTACAGGTCATTGGCTCCCTCCCTCTGCAAGCATTCTGCGTTCTGCTGTTTATTTGGTTGACAGTTACATAGACAGATTCTTTAATACAATTGCATAAAATCGGTGATTTACAATGTGATTAGGTTGTCTGACAAAACATCCACTTGCACAGTTTGAAATCGATTGGGTCATTGGATGAAGAGATATTTACAAAAAAACGGGTCCACATGCATTTCATGCCAAACTATAGGAACCGATGACATGTGTCAACCAAGTCATCGAGCCTGACCACCCGATCCCGTTAGTCGCCTCTTACGACAAACATGGGTTACTGAAGATCAATATTCTAACCCGGAAATTCACGGGTTTTTACATCATTGGTATTGTCCGATTAATGGAGTATAGTTTTAATGACTGTAATTATCTGTGCATGTGCAGTGAGAAGTTAAGTTACAGTAGCAGCAGGAACGAAACGTTCGTTGTTATAACGAGGAATGTAAGTAATGGTGTTACTCTCTATATTGGTTAAACAGACGTAAATTAAATAGCTTGAGGTTAGTTTTAATGTCTTATTACCACCTTTTCAAGTTTTCTATAATAATCTCTGTCAAATCGTGATTGAATATTCAGAAAGTTGACCCGAATGTATTTCTTACATTTCCGGGTACTCGATTCCGATTCGGGTAAGTACATGCGGGTACTCGATTCCATTTTTTCCTACTCGTCCCAGCCCAACTGAATTCCTCATACATTTTAGAACCTAATTACAACTTGTCTTTGTCACCAATACCACGTGTCTAGATAAGCTGAAACGAAAGATATTGGGGGTAGAAACAAATGCTGTGCTCGAAAGACAACACCTGTTTGAAATGTAAACAAAGAAAATTTCAGACTTTATACTGTGTAGCATTTTCTAAAATTTTCAGACACCCATTTGCATGGAAAGAGCATAGCAGCAATTAAGAAATAGGAAATTAAAAATAGATACAATACAGGAATGTGATGTGTTTATACGTACGAAACTGTCAAGTTTCTGTGCAGCGTGACGCCATGACTGACGCAAAGTCACGCAGAACGACAACAGTAATAATCGGCATTTCTGGCCGCTTCTTCTCTTTCTTAAAATGAAAACGATAAAAACATGTAACAATACACAGATAGTCAGAATCATTCTGATTACTTACATCTAATATTTATGTACAAACGATCCCTGAATCAAAGGAAGGGTCCTCGCAAAACCAATGTCAGCCGCCATATTTTAAGAAATCTCAACGGTAGTTATGTCATACGTCAACATTGTTGTACATATTTGGCAATTTCTCTGAGGTGAAGGTCGGTATAATAAGAGTATACACAATCACCATATCCCGCCGATTACACTTTCAGTATCATAATGTATTCGGATATTTTTTCATGAAACTAACTTAATTATCTACATTTAGTCTTGTTCAATATTATATCATACGTGGGTTTAGGGTGTACGTGTTTGATTCTTTGAAAGTGTTTGTTTGACTAATATTTACAGAAGAAATTTACACATTTAGTGTAGTAAAACATATATAAACCTTACAAGTGTTAAAAGATGAAACGTAGGCATCATGTTCTTGTACAACATGTATTTTAGTTCCTATGAAGTGGTTAGAGCGTCCGCCCGGACAGCGGAAGGTCGCGGGTTCGATCCCCGACCGCGTCATACCAAAAGACGTTAAATATGGTACTTGTTGGTCCCTGCCTGGCGCTCGGCATTAATGGGTACAACAAGGACTGGTCGGCTCGGAGTCAGTATAATGTGTCTGAGTGGGGTATTCACGCTTCACTGCGGCATGGTATCTCAGTGGGCTAGCACTATAAAACCAGATTAAGTCTGGGCGGTGTCCTCCCATTTGTGAGAACTCCCAGTTGTGAGACACATTAATTAATGGTTCAGTGCACACAGGTGGTGCTTCCCCGTCCCTACGATGAAAGTGGGAACAGCCCTGTTGCTGAAGAGTACCCGCAGGAGGCATAGCTCATTAATGAGTTAATTAACACAGAAGACATTGTTCGTTGAAGAGCATTTATTGTTTTCAATAAATACTGGAATACTGAAAAAGATTATCCTGAACTGGTGATATATTCTACTTGTTGAAGGCCTGCCATAATGGTGATCGGAAAGAGTAGTCAAAGGTTAATAAATACATTTGGATTAATTATTGTTACAACAGTTATTGCTAGATTTTTCAAACACGTAAATCTGAGTAGGTAAATTAATTTCTCTTTCAAATGATCACGAAGTTACCTACACAAAGTGTTTATTTTTTAAAGCCATTTATCTAAGTAGGTTAATTACTTTATCTTTTGAGTTTCATTAAGTTACCTCCACAAGATTCAGTTAAATAGCTAATCCATAATTAGCTGGGGTTAATCCATTCTATCAGATAGGGGAGTAAGGTGTGTTTTCTTTGCTAAGTACCTACTCCACTGTCTCACAACTGGGAGTCTCACAACTGGGAGTTCTCACAAATGGGAGTAGACCGTCTGGGCTAGTACAAGCAGCCGCACATACACATACACCCGCATGCACGTAGTCATATTAGCGAAATATTCTCAAGCACGACGTTAAATTTCAATTTCACCTCACCTAACCGGCGGTCCTTAGGTGTGTCAACTTCACGTCACGTTAACAACCTGTTTAAAGTTAACAGAGTTATGAACAACAAGATAACCCTCTGTTATTAGTTAACGGTCGGTTAAATGTACTTAACGGCTGGTTAAAAAGATAACCGAGTTTTGAACAACCGGGCCCAGAAATGTTGAATTCACTGTACACTGCGGGATATTAACAAAACAGCCTCTGCTCAATCGGAACTTCCGACTCTCGGAGAAGACCGAACTTTTCCGATTGTTTTTCGGATTGTCACGTTGCAGTACGTAAACATGTAAACATAATAGTTCCGACTGTCTGGCAAGAATAGACGGATCACATACAACAGGTAAGTCGGGAGGCAGTTGACGTACGTGATATGAGCAGCATATATCGTTAAGCATCACAACAGAACTTATCGAGCTCACTAAAGAGGATTTGTACGATGTGTAAGTTTGAATTGTCCTATTTTCAATCACCATGTTTATCCGACCTCAGAGAAGTACGATCTTAAGAAATTGCCGGGCTACCAGGTCTAGTTACAGTACTTTTCACTGTAAAACGTTTTCGTGCTACCAGATAGGCAAATAATACCAATAGGACTTATACTATTTCTGGGCAATCGGCCTTGTAAACAATCAGTGATGATTGAATCACTGGATTGTCTGGTCCAAACGCGACCATGAACAGATGAACAGGTAGCCGCCGTAGAGGAGGTACACTGCTGAGTGCGACATTAAATAACAATTAACGCTGATTAAACCTGTTGGTCATGGCAGTCACATGAATCTGATAGATGCTCTTTTGATTGTGGAAATTAGCACACTCATATTCTTCATTCAGTCATGCATGCCTCATGTCGTGTTGATAGTTAACAACAGATGCACTCCATGTTGTCACCAGCTGTCACAATGGAAATGTAATCAGTGTCGGTTTGTTTCATATACAGGAACGAAGTAGGTATACAGCAACTCTACAGGAAGTACCAGGCAGGCATTTGGGAATGCTTATCTATCCATAATCTTAATGGCCTTTCTTAAAGTTATTATTTTAAGGGCAGCCAACACTTAGCGAATCTAATGGCAGTGTGGTTTGTTTGTGCACTTTTATATGCAGGTCAGTAAATTGTTGACAACCATTGTGTCAGACTGAAGTCACATAAAGAATCAAATTAATGATTAATGAATGTAAAAACACCATATGTGTGTTTCTCCTACCAGTACCAGATGTGTTTGGATGTGTGTGAGAGGATGTATGTGTTTTGTGGGAGAGGATATGTATACTACATAATGATCTGTCTGTACTAAACAACATACAATTTGTCATTAACCTGTTGACCTAATTGATGAGCATCCTATTGTTGTAACTGTTGGGTAAACTAGCCACACCTGAGTTTAAGATGACACGACTGAAACACAAGTCCAGTGTCCTTAGCACACCTTTTTTCACATTTTGAACCCTGGTGTTCATACAGCTTTGCATATGGGTGATTGCATCGCTGTAGACTTGTAGTCCGTACATTTGAATTGGTTGTGCTCAGAATTAATGCAGGATCTTAAGATGAGCTTTGCAAAATTGCAAAAAGTAGGTCATTAAGCTGTGAATTCATTACAGAATGAATATCCAGTTCAAACTATAGCGTTATGCCATTGTTGTCAAGTAAGCTGATGTAAATTTGACCTATTTCAGCAATATGTATCAGTGGCTCATCAAAACAACTGAAGTTTAAAAAACGTGATAAAAGTTTCATGGGAAACACTTTTGAATTTCCTGAAAATGTTTGCAACTGAAATACATGCTGAAATGGATGCAATAATTCTGAAAAAATGCTTTCCCTCATATTTTATAAGGAAAATATATCTATCACCTCACTGGATGTGATGTGTGCTCTGAATAATTATGTGTTTCAGAGGTAAATTTTTTTGTGAATTGTTATAAACCTTTGTGAAAGTGCTGACTGACAACTATACACAGCAACCACCCAGGGAGTGGCCTACCTCTCCCCATCCCTGTTGACCAATGTGAGTGTGTATATGACCTGTCAGTCACTGTTCCATGTTTGTGTTACAGGTAGTGGCACCATGTCCAGGACAAGTCTGCGGAATCGGATGTGGGCATACTGTGCAGCATCATTTGGCTTCACACTGCTGTCTTCCACATTCTCCTTCTATTACGTGAAAGTGTTTCTCAACCTCTACCACATAGACGAGAAATGGTTTCATCTTGCACAGATCCTCTACCTAGTGTGGAATGCTGTAAATGACCCACTGTTTGCGTATTGCCAGGATACCAGTGCGTCTTGGATGCCAACCACTCGTCGAGAGCTCATACTATACACCGGGCCTCTGTTTGGTGTGGCGTACTTGTCGGCGTGGTTCCCGTGGGCAGATTCCAGTTGGGTGACAGGCCTTCACCTCATTGTGGCCTTATGCCTGTACGACACCATGTTCACCTTCATAGGGCTGGCACTGTGCTGTCTGTTCACGGAGATTGCTGTCACGGAAAGTGAACGTATTCGCCTCACGCAGATGTCACAGATAGTTGGGTTCATTAGTTCCTTCTCCGTGACACTTTGTGAGTTTTCATCGAACAGTTTGAAGGATTTCTCCAAGTTCCAGGCTACAACAGTCCTCCTTGCTGTTTTGAGTGCTGTTTTTATGGTGTATGCTGGGAAACACGCTCACACTTACTATGACGTGCGGAAGATGGCGGCGACGAATGAAGAGGAGAAAGAGGAGGGTTGCACACAGTCTACAGACAGGACTTCGTACTGGAGACTCACATGGCAAATACTTTCAGACAGGAACTTCCTCTCATTTGTTATCACAAACTTTTTGCAAGACTTTCATCGAACTTTCATAATGAGCTTTACTGTGATAATTTGTGACCAGCTCATCAGCGAGGATGATGTTCATCCATACGTCAGGAGTGTTTTCTATGGCAGCATATCCGCAATACACTCAGTAAGTAGGTTTGTTTACCTCTGGAAAACATCAACAATTGTGTCAACATCTTGAAAACGGGAAAATAGCTTGAAAAATTTCCACTTGTCCAACACTTAGGGATAATTTGACTCCGACATCAGACAGTACTGATTTATTCATGCATATCTGCTGATTTACTTTTTGTCTGTCTGTTTGTTAATAAGTAATACTTTCTTGGGGTACAAGCATAAAGCTGCGAGTCTCACCCATTTGGAAACACAGAGCTACCTGCACTTAGACACAGATCATCTTGATACACTGTAGAAAATGGGAAGTGTACTGATTGAACTATGAATCTTTTGATCATTTTTGTTTGCGTTGCTTGTTAGTAAAGAATTATAAATCCCACATTTATCCTACACATGCTACATTGTAATTAGTTGCCGGTTACAGCCAGCATCCCTCTTGTATCGTGTACATCTCAATGAGGTATCATGTAATCTTGGACCTCCGATCTAGATATGTCAGATCCAAGAATCCAACTTCTTTTCAGGATGTGAGGTAACTGAAGCTGGAACTGGTGGTAAAAATTTATTATGTTTCTGATCATGGTGGATGCATGTAAATTTGACCGTGTAAATCATTAATTATTAAAACTTGTAGATTGCTTGTACATTTATGATTGACCACTCATCCTGGTAAGAAAGTGATTTTCTTCAATCTGACATATTAATCCCAGTTAACATGGTTAATAATGTACTATAGAATTTTGAGCATGCAATGATATAACACCAGTAACTTGTATGGTAATCAAGGAAACACATGATCACCATGAGACCCCCATGTTCTCGCTGTAGACCCTCCATGATTGTAACCGAGCACACCCTCGGTCCCAGGTAAGTGCCTTCGAATATGGTGGCAGTGCAGTATGACAGATATCTCGTGATCTGTTTTCAGTTAATCGTCATATTTGGTGCCCCACTGGTGGACAAGCTGGGTTACTTCAGTGTCATTCGTGGAAACTTTGTTTGGAAAATATTATCTGGACTGACCATGCTGTTCCTTGGTCAGGGCCACCCCTGGCTGCTGATCCTGTTTCTTCTTGCTGACAGGTCAGTCTTGATCTTGATCTCACACTTTCATCTTGCTCTTCCATCATGTTCTCACTTGCATCTATGTCAAACCTGCATCTTTCCCTGCTGGAATCCAGTCAGAACTTCCTCCGTGGTGTAGTGGTTAGAGCGTCCGCCCGGACAGCGGAAGGTCACGGGTTCGATCCCCGACCGCGTCATACCAAAAGACGTTAAAATATATGGTACTTGTTGGTCCCTGCCTGGCGCTTGGCATTAATGGGTACAACAAGGACTAGTCGGCTCGGAGTCAGTATAATGTGTCTGAGTGGGGTATTCATGCTTCACTGCGGCATGGTATCTCAGTGGGCTAGCACTATAAAACCAGCTTAAGTCTGGGCTAGTACAAGCAGCCGCACATACACATACACACGCATGCACATCGTCATATGAGCGAAATATTCTCAAGCACGACGTAAAACCAAATTTCAACTCACCTCACCCAGTCAGAACTTGGTAAATTGATGACATCCAAGTCAGGTGGAGAAAGGCTTTGAACCGCTCTTCTGTTTCTCTGGTTTAGGCACGGGTATATCCAGCCTTCTAGATACTCTCCAATCTCAAGACTCTTAAAAATCAAGCCAGCCATGTTTGTAAACAATCAGGGTCAGACAACTCTAAATTGTACATGTAACCATCAACAGCCATTGACATCTTACAAGTTTTCCAGTACCAAATTACAACTGTCAGACACAGCATCAATCAGGCTTATGAATAATGAAATGAGAGTGTAATCACTGCAAGGTGGACACTGGTCATATATCCCAGAAAGGTTAGGTGTGTTTTTGTCCAAGGTGGACACTGGTCATATATCCCAGAAAGGTTAGGTGTGTTTTTGTCCAAGGTGGACACTGGTCATATATCCCAGAAAGGTTAGGTGTGTTTTTGTCCAAGGTGGACACTGGTCATATATCCCAGAAAGGTTAGGTGTGTTTTGTCCAAGGTGGACACTGGTCATATATCCCAGAAAGGTTAGGTGTGTTTTTTTTGGGTCCCAAGGTGTTTTGACACTGGTCATATATCCCAGAAAGGTTAGGTGTGTTTTTGTCCAAGGTGGACACTGGTCATATATCCCAGAAAGGTTAGGTGTGTTTTTGTCCAAGGTGGACACTGGTCATATATCCCAGAAAGGTTAGGTGTGTTTTTGTCCAAGGTGGACACTGGTCATATATCCCAGAAAGGGTAGGTGTGTTTTTGTCCAAGGTGGACACTGGTCATATATCCCAGAAAGGTTAGGTGTGTTTTTGGTCAAGGTGGACACTGGTCATATATACCAGAAAGGTTAGGTGTGTTTTTGTCCAAGGTGGACACTGGTCATATATCCCAGAAAGGTTAGGTGTGTTTTTGGTCAAGGTGGACACTGGTCATATATCCTAGAAAGGGTAGGTGTGTTTTTGTCCAAGGTGGACGTACAGTAGTGTGAAACCCTTATATCTACTTCAGTATCATCAGTGTTTGCAACCTATTATACAGGTCCCGAGGAACTTGGCGTATACCTCGTGTTGAAGAGATTCAGGGAGACTCCAGATGGCTAAAATACCACATGAAAAACCCTCATATACCCAGTGACTCAGTTGATTGCACTAAACATAACATCAGCTCCTGTTATTATTAGTTTTATAACTGTACCAAATGAATGTATGCTTATTTTGAGAGTTTAGTTAGTGTGTTTAGATACAGTGCTATAGAAATAATCTTCTACATGACAAACAATCTCCTTATTTCACCATCTGTAGACAGTGTGAGTTGAGTATTTTACATGTCAGTTTTTTTCCTCACTACTCATCGATAGTGAGGCTGTGTCACCCTTCTCTGACACTGCTGCCTCCGTAATTCTGTTATATGAGGCGATGCTAAAGTGTGACTTTGTTGCTTGTCATGGGCTCATTGATATGTATTCCATCTGTCTGACTGCACATCGCTGCTGTAGGTCGATGTCACATGTGGTAAAATGTGATATCATGATGGAACAGCTGCCAGCACGTTGAGCAGACGTGGCTGAAAAATGAACTGTATGTTCAGAATTTCATTGTATTCATTCGACAGAATGCGCAACGTATGTGGATTATATATATATAACAACAGTAATATTATCTAAACTATACAGAAAAAATGACTGTTTCACTAATGGCATGTCATATTGATATGCCTGATGTTATAAATTATTCAGGATACATTTGAGAAGGTGACAATACTAGACACAACACGATGGTGTCAGGGGCCGAGCAGAGACAGAACCAGCATGCTTCCTACATCAACAAGGTTCCTTACTGTTGTGGATGTTCCCAGGGCTGGTAGACTCGGGCATTGTTCCCAGGGCTGGTATACTTGGGCATTGTTCCCAGGGCTGGTATACTTGGGCATTGTTCCCAGGGCTGGTAGAGCATTGTTCCCAGGGCTGGTAGACTCGGGCATTGTTCCCAGGGCTGGTAGACTCTGGGCATTGTTCCCAGGGCTGGTAGACTCGGGCATTGTTCCCAGGGCTGGTAGACTTGGGCATTGTTCCCAGGGCTGGTGTTCCCAGGGCTGGTAGACTTGGGCATTGTTCCCAGGGCTGGTAGACTTGGGCATTGTTCTCAGGGGGCATTGTTCCCAGGGCTGGTAGACTTGGGCATTGTTCCCAGGGCTGGTAGACTTGGGCATTGTTCCCAGGGCTGGTAGACTTGGGCATTGTTCCCAGGGCTGGTAGACTGGGCATTGTTCCCAGGGCTGGTAGACTCGGGCATTGTTCCCAGGGCTGGTAGACTCGGGCATTGTTCCCAGGGCTCCCAGGGCTGGTAGACATTGGGCATTGTTCCCAGGGCTGGTAGACTTGGGCATTGTTCCCAGGGCTGGTAGACTCAGGGGGCATTGTTCCCAGGGCTGGTAGACTTGGGCATTGTTCCCAGGGCTGGTAGACTTGGGCATTGTTCCCAGGGCTGGTAGACTTGGGCATTGTTCCCAGGGCTGGTAGACTTGGGCATTGTTCCCAGGGCTGGTAGACTTGGGCATTGTTCCCAGGGCTGGTAGACTCTGGGCATTGTTCCCAGGGCTGGTAGACTCGGGCATTGTTCCCAGGGCTGGTAGACTTGGGCATTGTTCCCAGGGCTGGTAGACTCCGGGCATTGTTCCCAGGGCATTGTTCCCAGGGCTGGTAGACTAGACATTGTTCCCAGGGCATTGTTCCCAGGGCTGGTAGACTTGGGTGTTCCCAGGGCTGGTAGACTTGGGCATTGTTCCCAGGGCTGGTAGACAGGGCTGGTAGGGCATTGTTCCCAGGGCTGGTAGACTTGGGCATTGTTCCCAGGGCTGGTAGACTCGGGCATTGTTCCCAGGGCTGGTAGACTTCGGGCATTGTTCCCAGGGCACTTGGGCATTGTTCCCAGGGCTGGTAGACTCGGGCATTGTTCCCAGGGCTGGGACCCGGACTCGGGCATTGTTCCCAGGGCTGGTAGACTGGTAGGGCATTGTTCCCAGGGCTGGTAGACTCAGGCACTTGGGCATTGTTCCCAGGGCATTGTTCCCAGGGCTGGTAGACTTGGGCATTGTTCCCAGGGCTGGTAGACTCAGGCATTGTTCCCAGGGCTGGTAGACTGACTTGGGCATTGTTCCCAGGGCTGGTAGAGACTCAGGCATTGTTCCCCAGGGCTGGTAGACTCGGGCATTGTTCCCAGGGCTGGTAGACTTCTGGGCATTGTTCCCAGGGCTGGTAGACTCGGGGCATTGTTCCCAGGGCTGGTAGACTAGACTGGGCATTGTTCCCAGGGCTGGTAGACTTGGGCATGGCTTAAGCATTGTTCCCAGGGCTGGTAGACTTGGGCATTGTTAAGGTTGTTCCATTGTTCCCAGGGCTGGTGCATGTAGACTTGGGCAGGTTGTTCCCCGGCCAGGGCTGGTAGACACGCAGCATGTTAAGGTTGTTCCCCCGGGCTGGTAGGGCATTGTTCCCAGGGCTGGTAGAGCATGTTAAGGTTGTTCCAGGGCTGGTAGACACTAAAGGCATTGTTCCCGGGGCTGGTTGTTCCCAAGGCTGGTAGACTCCGGCATTGTTCCCTGGTTAAGCATTGTTCCCAGGGCTGGTAGTGAGCATGTTAAGGTTGTTCCCCGGGCTGGTAGACACGAGCATGTTCCCAAGGTTGTTCCCAGGGCTGGTAGACACGAGCATGTTAAGGTTGTTCCCCCAGGGCTGGTAGACGTTAAGGCATTGTTCCCAGGGCTGGGCTGAGCATGTTAAGGTTGCTTCCCTGGGCTGGTAGACACATGAGCATGTTAAGGTTGTTCCCAGGGCTGGTAGACACGCAGCATGTTAAGGTTGTTCTGGTAGACTTCGGGCATTGTTCCCAGGGCTGGTAGGCATTGTTCCCAGGGCTGGTAGACGAGCATGTTAAGGTTGTTCCCAGGGCTGGTAGACACTGTTAAGCATGTTAAGAGTGTTGTTTCCAGGGCTGGTAGACACCAGCATGTTAAGGTTGTTGTTCTCGGGCTGGTAGACACTGGCATGTTAAGGTTGTTTCTCGGGCTGGTTCCCAGGGCTGGAGACATGGGCATTGTTCCCAGGGCTGGTAGACACGAGCATGTTAAGGTTGTTCCCCGGGCTGGTAGACACAGCATGTTAAAGTTGTTTCCCGGGCTGGTAGACACGCCAGCATGTTAAGGTTGTTGTTGGAGCCAGGCATTGTTCCAGGGCTGGTAGACACGGGCATGTTAAGGTTGTTCCCAGGGCTGGTAGACACTGGCATGTTCCGGGCTGGTTGTTTCCCAGGGCTGGTAGACACTGGCATGTTAAGGTTGTTCTCCAGGGCTGGTAGACACGTAGGGCATGTTAAGGTTGTTCCCAGGGCTGGTAGACACGAGCATGTTAAGGTTGTTCTCCGGGCTGGTAGACACCCAGCATGTTAAGGTTGACCCCAGGGCTGGTAGGGCTGGCATGTTAAGGTTGTTCCCAGGGCTGGTAGACAGGCTGGTTGTTCGGGCTGGCAGACACTGGCATGTTAAGGTTGTTCCCAGGGCTGGTAGACACTGGCATGTTAAGGTTGTTTCCAGGGCTGGTAGGGCTGGTAGACACGAGCATGTTAAGGTTGTTCTCCGGGCTGGTAGACAGGTTGAGCATGTTAAGGTTGTTCCCCGGGCTGGTAGACACGTAGCATGTTAAGGTTGTTCCCGGGCTGGTAGACACGAGCATGTTAAGGTTGTTCCCCGGGCTGGTAGACACTGGCATGTTAAGGTTGTTCTCCCGGGCTGGTAGACACGCAGCATGTTAAGGTTGTTCCCGGGCTGGTAGACACGAAAGCATGTTAAGGTTGTTCTCCGGGCTGGTAGACACGAGCATGTTAAGGTTGTTCCCGGGCTTAAGGCATGTTAAGGTTGTTCCAGGGCTGGTAGACACGGCATGTTAAGGTTGTTCCCAGGGCTGGTAGACCACGAGCATGTTAAGGTTGTTCCCGGGCTGGTAGACACGAGCATGTTAAGGTTGTTCCCAGGGCTGGTAGACATGTTAAAAGCATGTTAAGGTTGTTCCGGCATGGGCTGGTAGACACGGCATGTTAAGGTTGTTCCCCGGGCTGGTAGACACGCAGCATGTTAAGGTTGTTCCCAGGGCTGGTAGACACGCAGCATGTTAAGGTTGTTCCCGGGCTGGTAGACACGAAAGCATGTTAAGGTTGTTTCAGGGCTGGCTGGTAGACACGAAAGCATGTTAAGGTTGTTCCCGGGCTGGTAGACACGCAGCATGTTAAGGTTGTTCTCCAGGGCTGGTAGACACGAGCATGTTAAGGTTGTTCCCGGGCTGGTAGACACGAAGCAGCATGTTAAGGTTGTTCTCAGGGGGCTGGTAGACACGAGCATGTTAAGGTTGTTCCCGGGCTGGTAGACACGAGCATGTTAAGGTTGTTCCCGGGCTGGTAGACACGAGCATGCATGTTAAGGTTGTTCTCCGGGCTGGTAGACACTGGTAGGCAGCATGTTAAGGTTGTTCCCTGGGCTGGTAGACACGAGCATGTTAAGGTTGTTCTCCGGGCTGGTAGACACGTAGCATGTTAAGGTTGTTCTCCGGGCTGGTAGACACGAGCATGTTAAGGTTGTTCTCCGGGCTGGTAGACACGAGCATGTTAAGGTTGTTCCCAGGGCTGGTAGACACGTAGCATGTTAAGGTTGTTCTCCGGCTGGTAGACACGTAGCATGTTAAGGTTGTTCTCCGGGCTGGTAGACACGAGCATGTTAAGGTTGTTCTCGGGCTGGTAGACACGAGCATGTTAAGGTTGTTCCCAGGGCTGGTAGACACGAGCATGTTAAGGTTGCTGGTAGACACGAGCATGTTAAGGTTGTTCCCAGGGCTGGTAGACACGAGCATGTTAAGGTTGTTCCCAGGGCTGGTAGACACGAGCATGTTAAGGTTGTTCTCCAGGGCTGGTAGACACGTAGCATGTTAAGGTTGTTCTCCGGGCTGGTAGACACGTAGCATGTTAAGGTTGTTTCCATGTTGGGCTGGTAGACACGCAGCATGTTAAGGTTGTTAGACCCATGTTAAGGGCTGGTAGACACGCAGCATGTTAAGGTTGTTCCCAGGGCTGGTAGACACGAGCATGTTAAGGTTGTTCCCAGGGCTGGTAGACACGAGCATGTTAAGGTTGTTAGACACAGGGCTCCCAGGGCTGGTAGACACGAGCATGTTAAGGTTGTTCCTAAGGGCTGGTAGACACGCAGCATGTTAAGGTTGTTCCCAGGGCTGGTAGTAGAAAGCATGTTAAGGTTGTTCTCCGGGCTGGTAGACACGAGCATGTTAAGGTTGTTCCCAGGGCTGGTAGACACGAGCATGTTAAGGTTGTTCCCAGGGCTGGTAGACACGAGCATGTTAAGGTTGTTCTGGCCAAGCTTTTGAAACATTTTCATTCATAAATGTTGTAACTTTTCTGTTGCCTCGTCACTTCGAACCATGTGTTTGCAAGATGGTGGGCAGGGCGACCTACTAACCCTTTTGGTCAGTCTAAGTAAACTTAGGCTCAGTATTATTCGCTACACTGCTACACTGAGTCTAACAAAACCTTATAGAAGGTCGCTGCGTCAGCTAACCTTTGAGCGACCTATGACCGTCCAATCAAACGTGAGACGGGCCGAAGGGATTTAACCAATCAGACAACGACTACTTGTTAGGTTTCCTCGCGGACTTACAAAGCGGTTTGGGATTTTCTCTCCCCTGGTCGCTGACACTGATCTATCAACAAACGAAAATCTGCTTATAACACATTATATTTGACCTGCAGTATATACGGCTTATGGGTTTCTAATGACATGGTTACTATTTGCTTATATTTTCGCAAGGTGACATTCTTGAATGTTGACAAAAACGCTTATTTCAGCGACTGTTTACTCATTCGCGTGTAGCACCTCGGAGCCGCATCGTGGTGGAAAATAGCATTCGAATCATTTGAGGTTTTGAGGTAAAGGTTCAAACGGTATGTGCGGATGTTAACTTCTCGCGATTTGGTAAGCTGTGTTCTGATTGGTCAGTCCAAAGGTTAGCTGGCGCCGACCTTCTATAAGGTTTTGTTAGACTCAATTATAGCAGTGTAATGAATAATACTGAGCCTACTTAGACTGCCTTTGGTGCTATGACATATTCTGCTGTTAAATAAGAATGTAATGAATATATTTATTTTAAACTAAAACTCATTTGGACTTTGTATGTACTTGGAATATCCATGAATGCAGACTTGTTCTCGTCACTATATGGCTAAAATAATGCCAGTGTGACATAAAGCCCAACTGAACTCAACTCAACTGTGGAAGGCGTCTCACGCTTTAGATTAGGGATTCTTGGCTGCGGTATTATTATAAGTACATCTCATTACATATATATGTAATTATTTGTGACAAGTCATCGCCATCAAGCTGGTGCTTTTGTTGTTGATTCGATGTCAGGCTACATCTGTCACCCTCGCCACTTCAAACTATGTGTTTGCAAGAATAGCAGGTGGGACAGCCTACTTTCCCTTTTCTATGTCCGTTTTAAGAAAGGCTTCTACTTTAAATTAGGGATTGTTGTCGCGGTGTATTATAATTACATCGCATTACATGTAGTATATATATAAATTTTTAAACTTATCCTATCTCACGGTATGCACTCCTCTTCTTCTACGACCATGTGGAAACGTGCTGTAGGCTAAGTTGAATCAAATCTTACTGGCCTCCTCCCGCCTAGCCTCCCCCCACTCCAATATCAGCACCTGTCAATCATCTCCATAAGCGTGCAGCTCGGCTCAGATGATCATGTGACTACCTGTGCCTGTCATTCTCTTTCTTGTTGCTACGTCTTGTGGACGTAATGCTTGTCTCTAAGAAAGTTTGATTGTTGTTTCAACATGGGTAAATCAAATCGTAATGGTTTTAAGAAGTGCAAAACATTGTGACAATTGTAACAGTAATTTCTCGGTGGCGGTAGATCCACATGCTTTATGTGTAGATTGTTTAGGTCGTTGTGATTGGTCTCAATGTTGGCCTCGACGATGATGCTTTCTCTGAATATCGCCGGTAGCTTGTAGACGCATGTCAGATAGGGATCGTCGCAAAACATCTGAGGGTCCGTCTGCGTCTAAACGTCCTAAGGCAGAACGCCATAAGAAAACTGCAGTTCGACGTTCGAAGTCCCCGTCTCCTAATGAAGATTTCCTAGGGGAGGCGTCTGATTCTTACCTCAGTGAAAATCTGCGTCGACTTTTCCGTCCGCATGCATCCAGCCCTATCACTTTGGAAGACTCCTCACCACCTAGGGTTGTCGTTTTATCTACATCTGCTGTTCAGCCCGTCCGGTGGTAACTATATGCCCCTCAGCTCCCTATGTTCCTTTGGTGGGAGTTTCTCATCGCGGCTTGGTGTGATTCCTAACATTACCTCTCAAGCGACGCTTGCTTGTAGTTCAGCGCTTTCCACTTCGGTGGTTGGTTCTACATTTACTTCCCATTCGGTGCTTGTGTCTCATGTGACACTTGGTTCTGGTACAGTGGATAGTTTCGGTTTGGCTTTCTCATCCTCTGGTAGGGTTGACAAGTTTGCCGATGATTCCCAGTGCAACTTTTTCCACATCTATCCCTTATCCTGTACCATTTGGTTACGGACCACCACTTTATCCTAGTTAGTCGTTTACCTCCTCAAGCACCGCTTTTACATGGGGACAGGTACCTGGTTGCAGAGAGCCACTTGGTCCTGATTCCACGCTTTCATTTATAGTGCCACTTGTTTCCAGTTCAGCTCTTGTTTGCCCCTGTTTGGCTTACTCACAGTGCTCCTGTTTCAGTGCTTAGTGTATCCAGTTGAAACTTCCCTCATAGAGCACTGGCTTCAGTGCTTCCCTCACAGTGCATTCAGTTCGGCACTTGCTCAGAGTTCAGTGCTTACTTCCAATGTGTCTGGTTGGTGCTTGGTACACTCAGCTTACCTCTTGCTTTCAATACGCCGCGCTACCTGTTTGGCGCTTGTTTCTTCTGCTACATTGATTCCCGGTGCCCCCGCTTATTCCAGTGTGATGCTTAGTACACCTTGTGTTTCCTATCGTCTTCAGTGGTGGGAGCGCCACATTCCATAAGTACTACTGTTTCTTCCTGTGAAACTGTCACAGCGGGTTTGGTTTACCACCTAGAGCGGGCGCGAGTGTGAAGGACCCTACGCCTTCATCGCTTCATCACGGGAACTTATATCAGTCAGCTGGTTGTTCGTCTTCTCTTAGTGGAGCCTCATCATCCCTCGTTATCTGCTCCTGTTTCGTCTTTTACCTCCTCCAACGGGCCTGTGGCGAGACCTATTTTACGGGTTTCCTGGAATCCGGGGTCAACCTGTTGATTGTGACACTAATGTGCAAGCGGTAGCCTCTCGGCTTTACGCATCAGACTCTAGCATCTTCCTCTGCTATTCAGTCTTCTGGCCCTCACGTCCGGCTCCAGTTTAACATTTGGAGGAAGTTCATCGCTCGGGCTACGCCATCTCCCTCTTCAGATGGTACGCCGCCTTCGGATGTTAGCGTTGATGCTGTTGACACACACCTCAATTGTTAGTTTGGATCGCCTGATAGCCTCCGACTACAGCCTAGTAGTTAGCCGTCAGATTTGTTATCCAGCCTCTATTACCTTTCCGCCCTTGCCCTTTGCATCACTTAATTGGCAGCGTCTCTAGATGAGGCGTTTGGTAACCTGAGGAAGGTTAAGGATGGGTTCGCAGCTCCCCGCTTCAATTTAGCATCTGCTCATGTTCATGGTTTCTCTACGCTGATCGTCTCCCCTCCGGTGGATGATGATATTACGTTGTTGGGAACCAAACAGAAAGCCTACTCGCCGTTCCTGGTCGAGGATCGTGAGCTCTTGCATTTGGATAGTGTCATAAGGAAGATTATGGCGCCACTCAACATGGTGTTGACGACAACTGAGGCGGAGGCTATGTCGAGTTGCACATGCTACGTCCCATCAACAAGCATATATTCGGGCTGCAATGGTCTTATTACAAGAACAATTTCAGACCATTTTGGATCAGTTGGCCCACTTCTTTTCAGATGCGCCACAGCTATGCGCCGCAGGGGGCCTCTGCACTTATCCTCATGGGAGGAACTAATCCCTACGCGCCATCTTCAATTCATTGGAGCAGTGTTGACACAGAGGTCAACAAACTGTTTGTCCCGAGGGATTGTTTCTGCAAGATACAGCGCTTGGTGTCCCTTTGCATTGGCACAACCCAGGACGCTTGCGTCCGTCAATGGCAGGAGCTCCTGGGCCTCTTGACGATCAGCTCAGGCACTGACCTCAGTGGTCAACTCGCGACTTCGACCCTTGCAGCTCTTTCTAGCTCTTTACATCAGAGTGGGTGATCCGGTTGCCTTGAACGCTTCTACCTCGAGCTCCATCCCCATCTCCTGTGGTGGATGGAAGAGTTGAACGTTTGCGGCAGAGTTTGCTTAGGGCCGTTTGTTCCGTCTCACCACCTGTATGTGGACACGTCTCAACACGGGTGAGGAGCTCATCTTCTCAATCAGCAAGTGGCAGGGCAGTGGTCTCTCGCAGATCACGCCTGTCACATCAATGTTCTGGAGTTCAGGGCAGTGATTATTTCAATCATCCACTGGCAAGATGTCCTACGAGCAACTTCCCTCATGGTCCGATGGGAAAACGCAGCAGTGGTATGGCATATCAACAGGATGGGATCAACGGGGTCTACTCAGCTCCTGCAATGGACTCAACAGTTCTTCGACCTGGTGGACTCTCTCAACATCTCTGTGCGAGCCAACCAAATTCCGGGGTTGAAGAATGTCATCGCGGATTCCCTGTCCCGTCCGAGTCGTCCCTCTCCAATGGAATAGAAATGACATCCTTAGGTGTTTCAGACCTTCTGCCTTCCGTTGACGATACCGACAGTGGATCTATTTGCCACTAGGTTCAACCATCAGCTGCCTGTTTGTGTCACCGATTCCGGACCCTCTGGCTTGGAATCACGATGCTCTTGCCATTCCGTGGGACGACCTGAACACTTACGCGTTTCCGCCAGTGGCCCTTCTTCCTCGCATACCAGTGAAACTGCGCGCAACTCAGCGGATGGCACTACTTTTGGTTGCGCCCTACTGGCCGGCCAGAAGTTGGTTCGTAAATCTTCAAGAACTAGCCGAACCAAATCCCATACCATTTCCCGATCGGCTTGATCTACTGGTTCATCCCCACTACGACCAGCTACATTGGTCCCCGTTTGCTCCATCTTTCACGCTTGGCGCATTTACATCGGTCGCTAACAGCCAAGGGCTATTCAAAGCATGTTGCTACTGCCATCACTACAGCGCATCGCACCTCCACTAGGTCACTCTACGATGACAAGTGGAAGAATTTTGAAGCATATTGCAGGAAGAAGGGCATAACATCTCCCACTACGGCATCCCCGCAGATGGTAGCAGAGTACCTTCAGCATCTTCGAACCTCGAGAAAACTCAAAGGTTCTACGCTATCTACATACCTGGCTGCCCTTAACACGGTTAGCTGGAATATTGCTGAGTGCGGCGTAAAACTAAACTCACTCACTCAATTAACACGGTTGTTGCGTCGGCCTCAGATGTGAAGGTGTCCACTGTCCCTGAGCTCCAGTCTCTCCTCAGGTCTTCCTCAGGACCAATCCCTGAAGTTCCGGCCTCCAGCTTGGGATCTTTCCGTTGTGCTTGCTCATCTCACATCAGCTGATTATGAACCTCTGGAGGAGAAAGATTTTGAACATGTCTCCTTTAAGACCTTCTTTCTCCTGGCCTTCGCCACTGCTGCCCGTATTTCGGAGTTGCATGCTCTTGATGTCTCTCGGGTACGATTTGAGAGGTTTAGACATGCTAGAGTTTTCCTTGGTTTGCGGTGGGATTTTCTTGCTAAGAATCAGTTACCAGGACAGCCGGATCACACGTTCACATTTCCGCCGTTGTCCACTATCTTGGGCCCAGATGAAATAGAAGATCTTTTCGAGCATTACAGATTTATCTAGCTGCCTCGCGCGAGGATCGCCGCGAGACCGCGAAGAGATTGTTCATTCCATTATCTACTGTCTCCGCCTTGTAAGTCTCAAGCAAGACTACCTTGGCGCTTTTGGATGAGAACCACGATCCTGCGTGCTTATGCCTTTGCTGACCTGCCTCCACCATCGACGGCGAAGCCTCATGAGACTCAGGCTCTGACTTCCACCATGGCGCTTCACAGGAATTGTTCCCTCCAGTCCATCATGGAGGGATGTTTTTGGAAATCAGATACTGTGTTCACCTCACACTACCTGCGGGATCTCTCGGTTACAGGCGTGGAAGGTCTACATCAATTCGCCCCTGGTCCTGGCGCAGCAATTGTCATTATCCCCGCGTTCACAGATAAAGCAATCCTTCTTTGGTCGGGTTTGCTTTGTACATAATAAAAGATATCGATGTTATCCATGTCTTGGTACTTTTTTTCATTTGGGCTTAGATCATTCTCACCTGGGGAAGTAGGGTGTGTTTGCACTGTCATAAATATGACTGGATAGACTGTGAGGCAAGACTTGTGCTACATGCAGAGATGGTCGACATTCCGCTTACTGACCTCTACTCTTTGAGCAATTACGTCAGTGAAGTGTTGATTTCCGATTACCTACATGGTTTTCAAAGCGTTCCGCTCCTAAGTCCATTCTCACCTTTGGTAAGTTAGGGGGATTAGTACTGAACGTTAAACTAGTTGAGCAACTGGGCTATTCCCTCTTTCACCGCCTTCCAGCGTGTGTCTGTGGGGGTTAGTTTCGAAGCAGGGACTGGCCAGATTACGATCTTAGACTTTAATGCACTGCGGTCACCTGATAAATTGTGGGCGGGGGGGCCTACTTGCCAAACTGCGTCTTTTTGCTTGTCAAAAGTTGCGGCTGAAAACCACATTAATTCGGGAGCGCCCACTCCCTAGAGTTTTTGTGCTGTGTAAGCTAAGGGGTTACCTGAAGAAACCCATCACAAGTTTGGAGTTTGCATATCGGGAGTTGGTGCTTTCTCCTGGGGTTATGCGTCTTCACGGTTGTAAGTATTGACAGGGTAATCTACAGCCCTCCTACCAACCGTGGGATTATGCATTCCGTGAGATAGGATAAGTTTAAAAATTTGAAAATTTTACTATAAATTGTATATTTATATACTTATCCTATCTCACGCGATGGATACCCACCCGACCTGCCCCACATCACAGATTACTGGAAGCTCCAAGACGAGAATGACAGGCACAGGTAGTCACATGATCATCTGAGCGAACTGCACGCTTATGAAGATGATTGACAGGTGTTGATATCGAGGTGGGGGCAGAGGTCAGGGCGGGTCAGAGGCCAGTAAGATTTGATTCAACTAAGCCTACAGCACGTTTCCACACATGGTCATAGAAGTAGAAGAGAGGTGCATACCGTGAAATAGGATAAGTATATAAATATACAATTTATAGTAAAATTCAATTATTTGTGACACGCCATCGCATCTAGGATCGCTTTACGATACTACTTGGGGAATATCGTTCTTCATCATTTTGTTCACATTGTGTTGATATTTGTGTATTTATGTTTGCCAAATTCTCCACATCAAGCTACGTGTTTGACAAGATGGCGAGCGACATACTACATTCTTCTACATGTTTACATGTCAATGTGGTGGGGTTGCTGTAATGTTTTGCTCTGCATTACATTTTGTAATGAGCACCCTTGCGTTAATTTTTTCCTGTTACGTTCTGTAGTGTTATGTGATAGGTATAAACATTACATAAGTATACACACAACAAGGCTCATGGCGACCAAGCTTATGTTTTCTACCTGGGATTTACGCCTCATGTGCGTTCATGCAGACATGCAGATTTCATGTTTTTCACTAATCTGCTTCAGGCGTGTTGAACACTCTTATGAAACTGGGGCGATGGGGTAGCCTTGTGGTTAAGGCGTTCGCCTGTCATGCCGAAGACCAGGGTTTGATTCCCCACATGGGCACAATGTGTGAATCCCATTTCTGGTGTCACCTGCCGTGATATTTCTGGAATATTGCTTAAAGCGACATTAAACCAAACTCACTCTCTCTTTCTTGGGGGTGGTGCGAGTTTGAGGATGAGACCCATACAGCATACACTCTTGGGAGTCTGTCTTATGTTTATAAGTACCCCAAGGAGGACCTCTTCTGAAAAAGAATAGAACCAAACTGCAGAGGTTTCTGATTTTTTAAGAGAATCCTCCTTGTTGTAGGGCCACCCACCTCTCCACATTCTGTCTGATAACGGTCAGTATGGAAAGTGAGTTGCGAGGTTGAAGGTTAGAGTTACCTTCTCTTGACTGTGGTGTCCCGCGGGGCCCTGCAGGGGTGGTCGAACAAGACAAAACCTGAGTTTTTGTTTTGTAAATATTTCATTCAAAATATAGTAACAACTGTTGTAGGTATTTTTAATGGACATAAAAATGCTTATAAGTACCCCAAGGAGGACTCTCTTCAAAGAATCAGCAAGCTCTGCAGGTTGGTTCGAATTTTATGGACACTCATGCTAATTTCTCTTGACACTGATATTGAAGGAAAATACAATGTAAACACAAATTAAAGTCATAGCACAGCTACAATCATGTAAAGATGTTTACAATCCATCCATCATCTTGTCATTAGTTATTGAGTAATAGTTTACTGTTGAGAAACTTGTATACGTTTAATGTGTCTGTTTCAGACATCCGATGACCTCAATGATCTTTGGGACAAATGCCCTGGTGGTAAAACCAGCACAGTCTCTGTGTCCGATGTTCATTGTGACAGTTCTCAACATGTACGGGTACCAACACTTGAAGAATGGAACACTCACCTCACCTGACACCTCCCAGCTGAAGGAGGTCATGTTCCATCTGGCCTGCTGTCTGCCTGTTGTTATGGGATGCTTGCAGTTGCTGTCTTGGTCCTTCTTCAGCATCCGGCTACGCCATGCACCCAGCCACACTGTGGATGTCACTGCATAAACACAAGGGGGAGACAGGCCGCTCCACTGTCCTCCTTCACCATCCAGGGACAGCACTCACCCAGCCACACTGTGGATGTCACTGCATAAACACAAGGGGGAGACAGGCTGCTCCGCCGTCCTCCTTCACCATCCAGGGACACCTCTCACCCAGCCACACTGTGGATGTCACTGCATAAACACAGGGGAGGCAGGCCGCTCCACATCCAGCACTCACCCAGCCTCACTGTTGGTGTCACTGCATAAACACAAGGGGGAGACAGGCTGCTCCACCGTCCTCCTTCACCATCCAGGGACACCTCTCACCCAGCCACACTGTGGATGTCACTGCATAAACACAAGGGGGAGGCAGGCCGCTCCACTGTCCTCCTTTACCATCCAGGGACAGCACTCACCCAGCCACACTGTGGATGTCACTGCATAAACACAAGGGGGAGACAGGCTGCTCCACCGTCCTCCTTCACCATCCAGGGACACCTCTCACCCAGCCACACTGTGGATGTCACTGCATAAACACAAGGGGGAGGCAGGCCGCTCCACTGTCCTCCTTTACCATCCAGGGACAGCACTCACCCAGCCACACTGTGGATGTCACTGCATAAACACAAGGGGGAGACGGGCCGCTCCACTGTCCTCCTTCACCATCCAGGGACACCACTCACCCAGCCACACTCAGGAATTCATGATAAATATTGATGCAGGTGATGGGCCACTTCTTCGTCTCTCTTCACTGTTGTGCCAGACCACCCCGCTCCAGCCATTACCTCACTCAATATGTCTCCATGTAAAGGGGGAATGGCCACTTCACAGTCCTCCTTCACCATCCAGGGACACCATGCACCCAGCCTCACTCAATATGTCTCCATGTAAAGGGGGAATGGCCACTTCACAGTCCTCCTTCACCATCCAGGGACACCATGCACCCAGCCTCACTCAATATGTCTCCATGTAAAGGGGGAATGGCCACTTCACAGTCCTCCTTCACCATCCAGGGACACCATGCACCCAGCCTCACTCAATATGTCTCCATGTAAAGGGGGAATGGCCACTTCACAGTCCTCCTTCACCATCCAGGGACACCATGCACCCAGCCTCACTCAATATGTCTCCATGTAAAGGGGGAGTGGCCACTTCACAGTCCTTCACTATGATGCAGTGTGAGGTGTGAGAGCTGGATCCCTCACTATCATGCTGCTAACAGTAATCCATGGAGACCAGGATTTGACCAACAGGGACCACTGGACATATGTACTGAGCGGCAAGGGGACACTGCTGGAAAGTAATTAAAGCTTACAGAAGTATTTCAGTTTAGTGTATGCTAAACTCAAAACATTTTGTTACCCTTCAAAGACTAATCAGAATGTCACATCATAAAAATGGGTGATTGGGCTGTTATGTCATTGATGTCATGGTGTCAAGTCCTGGGCATCATATACTATTTAAGTGTCATGTACTTGACATCATTGGGATGTGCCTTGAGCTTCATAGTGTCACGACCTTAGTGGGGATCATGTTTGTCTTTGTTCCCGACCTGTGAAGATCCAGGTTAGAATTGGTCTTCAGAAACACAGGGGTTGAAAAATACCATTGCCCGATGCCCGGGTAGAGTGGAATTCTCCGGTTGGTCAAGCAAATGTCCATGTCCAACTTTACCCTGGTGCAGTAGTGCAGTATTAATGTTTTGATGTGTGTATTTTGATGATGAAATAATACCGGTAATGCAATTGCTACCTATTGATAAAAAATACTTGCAAAAGAAACCAAATTGTTAATTGTGGTCAAGTGAAATTAGTATTTGGTCAAGTGGATTTTGAAAGTTCACTGGACCTGTATCCAGTGGAGTATGGAAAAAAATGTCAACCCATGTAACCCATGCTTGTCATAAGATGCGACAAACAGGATCAGGTGGTCAGGCTCACTGATTTGGTTGACACATGACATCGTGTCCCAATTGTGTTGATTGATGCTCATGATGTTGATCACTGGATTGTCTGGTCTATTTCAGACCGCTGCCATATAGCTGTAATATTGCTGAGTGTTGCATAAAACTAAATTCAGTCAATCTTTGTGCCCCTGTCGTGGGCATGATCGTGTGCTATGTGGCTTGTGCTGGGCATCAGGGCTTCATGTCCTGTGTCTCACCGCCTGGGCAGCCATCATGGTGTCATATCCATGGCATATCATAGTGTCCTTGGTTCGCATCATGGTGTCCTTGGTTCGCATCATGGTGTTGTGTAATGGGTGTTATGTCTGGGACCATTATATCATGTCCAAATTGTCATGTGCAGGGTATTGTTATGTCATGTCCAAGGCAACATTGTGTCATGTCCAAGGCATCATTGTGTCATGTCCAAGGCAACATTGTGTCATGTCCAAGGCATCATTGTGTCATGTCCAAGGCATTGTTGTGTCATGTCCAAGGCACCATTGTGTCTTTGTATTGGAGTGGTGTGGGATGGAGCTGATGTTGTGTTGGAGCGGCGTGGGATGGAGCTGATGTGTTGGAGGGGCGTGGGATGGAGCTGATGTTGTGTTCGAGTGGAGTGGGATGGAACTGATGTTGTGTTCGAGTGGTGTGGGATGGAGCTGATGTTGTGTTGGAGTGGCATAGGATGGAGCTGACGTGTTGGAGGGGCATGGGATTGAGCTGATGTTGTATTGTAGGGGCATGGGATGGAGCTGATGTTGTGTTGGAGGGGTGTGGGATGGAGCTGATGTTGTGTTGGTATTTGCATAGGATGAAACTGATGTGTTGGAGTGGCATAGGATGGAGCTGACGTGTTGGAGAGGCGTGGGATGGAACTGATGTTGTGTTCGAGTGGAGTGGGATGGAGCTGATGTTGTGTTGGAGTGATGTGGGATGGAGCTGATGTTGTGTTGGTATTTGCATAGGATGAAACTGATGTGTTGGAGTGGCATAGGATGGAGGATGCTGGAGCGTGTTGGGAGGCGTGGGATGGAACTGATGTTGTGTTCGAGTGGAGTGGGATGGAGCTGATGTTGTGTTGGAGTGGTGTGGGATGGAGCTGATGTTGTGTTGGTATTTGCATAGGATGAAACTGATGTGTTGGAGTGGCATAGGATGGAGCTGACGTGTTGGAGAGGAGTGGGATGGAACTGATGTTGTGTTCGAGTGGAGTGGGATGGAGCTGATGTTGTGTTGGAGTGGCGTTGAATGGAACTCATGTTGTGTTGGAGTGATGTGGGATGGAGCTGATGTTGTGTTGGAGTGGCATAGGATGAAACTGATGTGTTGGAGTGGCATAGGATGGAGCTGACGTGTTGGAGAGGAGTGGGAGGGAACTGATGTTGTGTTCGAGTGGAGTGGGATGGAGCTGATGTTGTGTTGGAGCGGCGTTGAATGGAACTCATGTTGTGTTGGAGTGATGTGGGATGGAGCTGATGTTGTGTTGGAGGGGCATGGGATGGAGCTGATGTTGTGTTGGGAGGGCTGACGGGTTGGAGGGCGTGGGATGGAGCTGATGATGTTGTGTTGGTTGGGAGCGTGGGATGGAGCTGATGTTGTGTTGGAGCTGATGGAGTTGTGTTGGAGGGCGTGGGATGGAGCTGATGTTGTGTTGGAGGGGCGTGGGATGGAGCTGATGTTGTGTTGGAGGGGCGTGAGATGAAACTGATGTTGTGTTGGAGGGGCGTGGGATGGAGCTGATGTTGTGTTGGAGGGGCATGGGATGGAGCTGATGTTGTGTCATGTCCAAGGCACCATTGTGTCATGTCCAAGGCACCATTGTGTCATTGTATAGGAGTGGCGTGGGATGGAGCTGATGTTGTGTTGGAGCAGCGGCGTGGGATGGAGCTGATGTGTTGGAGGGGCGTGGGATGGAGCTGATGTGTTGGAGGGGCGTGGGATGGAGCTGATGTGTTGGAGGGGCGTGGGATGGAGCTGATGTTGTGTTGCATGTGTTGTGCTGATACACCAGCTGTCAAGGCTGTGGTTGTCCTTGTGTTATGGCATAGTGTTTGTGTTGATATTATGGAACCACGACTACCTTGTTCCAGTGTTGGTGCCATTGTATATACAAGATGCAGTGTATATATGTAGTGCCTTCACAAAGTTTGGATGTATTTATTGTTATTTGTTTTTACCTATTACAAATATTTTTTTATTTTGCTCTCCTGACTGAGAGTCCTGGTATCGTGTATCTATACGGTACTTGTTGTCTGGTTGACTGTTACATTCTCAGCACCTGCTGTCAGCAGCAAGAGAGGTCAAGGAAGTTGAAACATTCCACCATTGCTTCATTGTGGGCTTTCCTTGGACAGATATCTGAATGAGTGGCACAACTTTCTATTTAAAAGTTTTGTTAAAATCATACTATGATTATGATTCTTCTTGATCTTGATTATATTTTCTTTGTTCTCATCTTTGTGATTTTTTTCATTTTAGTTTTATTGCAAGAAAATGTTTTTATGTTAACAAACCACATATTTCATTACACAGCTAAGTAGCATGCCATATTACTCACCTAAGTAGCATGCCATATTACTCACCTGAGTAGCATGACTTGTTACTCACCTAAGTAGCATGACTTGTTACTCAGCAACAGCCCATTTGATTTCATTTTAGACCGATGAATTGCTCACTGACACAAAATCTAATAACTGCATCCCAACCAAATTTTGCAGTCACATGAAATCGACAGACCAAATCTGATGATTTGTCTTATATTTTTGGACAACCCGAATATAAAAGTTATTTAACAAACGATCAATATTTTGTTGTCACTTTTCACTATTTTTTTACATGGGAGGACCACTTACTAGTAGAACAATCAGTTGTGCGAGCTGCACGTGTGAAATTGAAATTTCATTACACACACTTGTATGGTGGTTTGAACAATGAATAATAACACATTCCAGTGCAACGTCCTGCACATAGTGGTACCGATGAGAGAAAGGGAATCCACTTGTAGTTAGGATTCCTTGACAGTGGTACCGATGAGAGAATGGGAATCCAATTGTAGTTAGGATTACCTGACAGTGGTACCGGTGTGAGAAAGGGAATTCACTTGTAGTTAGTGATACCATTGAGAGAAAGGGAATCCACTTGTAGTTAGGATTCCCTGACAGTGGTACCAATGAGAGAAAGGGAATCCACTTGTAGTTAGGATTCCCTGACATAGTGGTACCAATGAGAGAAAGGGAATCCACTTGTAGTTAGGATTCCCTTACATAGTGATACTGGTGTGAGAAAGGGAATCCACTTGTAGTTAGGATTCCCTGACAGTGGTACCAATGAGAGAAAGGGAATCCACTTGTAGTTAGGATTCCCTGACATAGTGGTACCAATGAGAGAAAGGGAATCCACTTGTAGTTAGGATTCCCTTACATAGTGATACTGGTGTGAGAAAGGGAATCCACTTGTAGTTAGGATTCCCTGACATAGTGATACAATTGAGAGAAAGGGAATCCATTTGTAGTTAGGATTCCCTGACATAGTGATACCATTGAGAGGAAGGGAATCCACTTGTAGTTTAGACTCCCTGACATAGTGATACCAGTGTAAGAAAGGGAATCCACTTGTAGTTAGGATTCTCTGACATAGTGTGGTGGTGAAGGGTGTTTGCTCCATTCTAACGTTGGGAAATGAATGCAATACTAGTAACATATTCAACATAATATGCTTGAAAAAACATGGAATATACATGTATATTGTGTTACATTACAGGGTTGGTAGTGACTACTAATTATTAGAGTAGACTATTAGTGGCCTTAGTTTTCACTTTACTATTCATTAGCAACACCCAGAGAGAAATAAGATACAATGTAGAGTCTTAAAGAGCAGAAGATAAGGATTCTGCTGCAAGGTTTAGGTTTCTACATTCAAGTCTGTACCGTAATATATTGTTGTACTAGTGTATTCTTGACACTACTGTGTGGTTCCTTTAGGTCGGAGAGACCATGATTGGTAGGGCAGGGTGCTGGTGTGGTACCCATTTCAACTGATTCTCAGGAATCGAACCTCACAATGATCAAATATATGAATGACTTTTGCCCTCTGTTTTTTCATCCAGAGAAATTACCACATCTTTGGGATTATATGACTTTGCATTGTCTTTGATCAGAGCTCAAACTGAGAATAAAGCCAACCTAGATTTGATGGGCTTCATCAAGGGAGAAATGATTATCCGGGCAGAGCGTAATGTGTAGGAAAACAACCTCATACAAGAAAAAGCTGTTACTTCAAGAGCAGTGTAGTGTAAGGAATGCTTTGATGGGTGCTGGAGACAAAGCTGTGTGTCTACTATAGAAAGAACTAATGATACAATGATGGGGCCACCACACAAACTAAAGTAATTCAGTTTTTGTTGATTGTCATAAAGCTGTAGTTGCGGAGATGCTGTGAGTGCGGCTGTGTGTGATGTGCCGTTGAGGTTCACTGGATCATGTGCTTGGCAGACACAAATCATTCTGGGATTGAGCCCCCGGGAATACAATACTCAATATTGTATGTCGGAATTGATCCTACAAAGGCTAAAGTGGTTATGCGGTCGAGGAACACTGAGAACACTCTGTGCCTGCAGAGTGTTAGATTAATACTTAATTCATTGTAGAGACTGATGCTGTACACAGAGAAACAGTTTTACATTAGCGGCACACATGGCAGGTTGGTGTACTTACTGGGGGACGTTGTGGCACGTCTATCTTAAGTGGGACACATGTCATCATGTTCTACTTAAGTGGGCCATATGTATATGTACTTATGTCAGGCCAATGACAGTGTTATACCCTAAGAGAGGCCCATGACAGCATGTACATAAGTGGGGCACATGAGAGTATCTTCTACTTTACTGGGGCACACGGCAGTGTGTAGTACGTAAGTACGGCACATGAGAGCATGTTCTACTTTACTGGGGCACACGGCAGTGTGTAGTACATAAGTAGGGCACATGAGAGAATGTTCTACTTTACTGGGGCACACGGCAGTGTGTAGTACATAGTTAGGGCACATGGCAGCATGTTTTACTTTACTGGGGCACACGGCAGTGTGTAGTACATAATTACGGCACATGAGAGCATGTTCTACTTTACTGGGGCACACGGCAGTGTGTAGTACATAAGTAGGGCACATGAGAGTATATTCTACTTTACTGGGGCACACGGCAGTGTGTAGTACATAAGTGGGGCACATGAGAGCATGTTCTAATTTACTGGGGCACACAGCAGTGTGTAGTACGTAAGTAGGGCACATGAGAGTATCTTCTACTTTACTGGGGCACATGGCAGTGTGTAGTACATAAGTGGGGCACATGAGAGCACGTTCTACTTTACTGGGGCACACGGCAGTGTGTAGTACATAAGTGTGGCACATGAGAGTATCTTCAACTTTACTGGGGCACACGGCCGTGTGTAGTACATAAGTAGGGCACATGAGAGTATCTTCTACTTTTCTGGGGCACACGGCAGTGTGTAGTACATAGGTAGGGCACATGAGAGCATGTTCTACTTTACTGGGTCACATGGCAGTGTGGTCGTGTGTAGTGGATAAGTAGGGTAGATGAGAGTATGTAGTACGTTAGTGGGGCACATGAGAGCTTGTTCTTCTTTACTGGGGCACATGACAGTGTGAAGCACGTAAGGACATCTCACGACATCACACAAGTACATAACCCAAAGAGATCTCACGACATCTCAAAAGGACATATCTGAAGGATATCTCACATCTCACAAGGACTTCAAACAAGGACATCTCACAAGGGCATCACACAAAGACATCACACAAGGACATCTAATCACATTACACAAGTACACCACACGACATCTAAGAAGGACATCACACAAGGACTTCTCACAAGGACATCCCATAGGCCATCACACAAAGACATCACTTAAGGACATCTCACAAGGACATCACACTAGGACATCTAAGAAGGACTTCATACAAGGACATCACTTAAGGACATCTCAAGGATATCTCATATCTCACAAGGACATCACGTAAGGACATCAGACAAGGGCGTGTCTTAAGGCCATCACACAAGGACATCTCACGACATCACACAAGGACTTCGCACTAGGACATCTCTTAAGGACATCACACAACGACAACTCACATACAATGTACATGGAAGTGCACACTCACATATGCTAACACGCGTTATGGTGAAACATTATGGTAGGCTTTGCACATTCCATAAAAGGAATCAATATCATAAATACATCAGCCAACAGTTCGAACAACATATATAAGTATAATCACGTGAAGTGATACGCATTTAGGTGGGTGACGTTTCACCAATAAAGAGAACATTTTGCAGGTCACAAACAGTGAGCCCCCAGTCACTGTTAAGTTATAGGAGTGTTGAAGTTAAACAATACAAACAGGAAATATGTACCTGGCGTTGTTTCTGCAGTGTGTCTGTTCTTCAACATTTACACTTCAGTGTGCGTTAAACATACCAATAATACGTAATCTCAGCCAACTGCAGTTTCTGTTGTACGAGTACAAATGGATGTCTATGAAACAGCTATGGTAACAGGTGTTCCCGGGAAAAACTGATAACATTCATGAGAGAAAATTGAAGTTTGTAAACTGCTCCAACATTCCGGTAAACGGTAAACTCGCACAGTCTGCACAGTGCAGTCCATGTAATATTCTCAACATGTGAGAGTGCGTGGACACAGATGAAACAGAGGCATCACGGTCAGGCTTCGTGGATCCCATCAGCCAGCGTGAATCAGGTCCTCATTGCCCCAATACATCTGTTTTGTCGTATATGACGCGGTATCGAAGTGTCTTATTATCAATGAAAGGAGATGAGGCAGTATATATATTTGTTAAGCAGCAAAACAACGGAGAGCTGAACGAACACATCCTTCAAGTCATGGGAGGCCATGCAGCTGCAATGTCTC